GAGAGTGTGTGTGTGTGTGTGCGCACGCGCATACACAAGAAGAGGGGCAGAGAGAGAGGAAGAGAGAGAATCCCAAGTAGGCTCTGTCGGGGCTCCATCTCCTGAACTGTGAGATCATGACCTGAACCGAATCAAGAGTCAGATGCTTAACTGAGCCACTCAGGTGCCCCAAACTTGAACTGTTTTTAAATTATTTTAGGTTTTTGAACAATATTTCTCAGATTGCAAGGGCTGCAGTTTTAATGCAAAACAGAATGATCCATCTCACAGGGTCTGGGTGAGGGAAATTCAACTAGAATTATTCCAGATACAATGTAAGAGTAGCATTTAGAAAGAACTGGCAAACTAAAAAGAGAATGTCACTTGCTGTATGAAATCAGCAATTTACTTTGATCTAGTAAAGTTCCTGTAACCTATTGAGTACTTAAGACTTTCTAAACAAATGTGACTCAGCCCATGAGAAATTCTTTCCTGTAAATTCATTGCTTGATTTTTACTCCATGATACACCTTTTCAAAAACAATAAGTAGGCAGGTAAGAACACTTAACCAAACAGTCTAGTGTGCTCTCTAGCCTTCAAAGTATATATCTGTTGACAGCTATTTTAAACCCAGTAAGTTAATCATTACTGTTTCCTTATTATATACCGTTTATCTGTGATAAAGTTGTATATTTCTAAGTGATATTCAAATAATATTAAAGATGTCTGCATTTCTTATTTTCACATGTCAATCTGAATTGCCTTGGTGTTTTTTTGATACCTAATCGGTCTCCCTATTAGATCATGTGTTTTCAAGGGCAACACATGTGTTGGACACATCTGTGTGTCCAGCATAGGACTGAGTTCATTGTAAGTATATAATAAAGATTCAACACATGTATAGTTGTTTCAAAGACCCAAACACGAGAAGGACTTTAAAGAGTTAGTGGAACGAAGCCTAAGTACATGTTATCTTGTACTTGCCATGATACCCTTCCTGCCCCCCACCATAGGAAAGTACCAGAAGAGAGGCCCATTTTCAGATTCCGATTGAGAGTTATGTAATAGTCATCTTGGTACTGTGGCTATAGGGAGGATTGTGTTTCCATTCTTTGAAACAAGAACATGGACCTCTGTGAACCAAGCAAAAATGGATCCTGATTTCATTCACTTCAGTCTCCCAGGTACTACTCTCTCGCACGTGTAAGGTCCAAAAGTTGCTTGGATTCTTGGGCATGGTCCCCAGGTCCCCTGTCAACTGAAGCCAGTGTGGGCCAGACATTGTTACAGTGTCTGATAGGTTGCTCATTGCCAAGGCTAGGAATGTGTGCTTTCATTCCTGGAAACTTTCTTGGCACTGCCAAGAAATCCAAAACTATATGCAGTTATAGCACCGGTTGGACCTTGGACCCAGGATAATCATCTGCACTTAAACTATAAGGAAAGGTGGTTTCAAATAATTCTAGGTAAATGTAAAACTTTTGTTTAGTATTTAAAATAGAATGAAACTTTGTAGTGTTGAAAGGATTCAGGACATTACTTTTTCTTAAAGTTGTTTTATCAAGGATGGTTATGAACTCAAATTGCCCTCCACATGTAAACAAAACAGTTGAATACCTAAATTCTTATACGCAATTACTGGGTGGGATAGCTCTGGGACTTACTTTTCATGATAGGCTTGATAAACTCATCAAAAAGTTTGAACAGTTATAGAACACACTTCTTACTTTCTCCCACCAGTGTAGGATCTTTTTGTTTTGCTTAACTGTGCTTTTGCTTCAGAACAATTCTTGCTGTCTAAATGAGTAGTGAATAGAGAAAGTGGTGTTTGTCAGAGAAATCTGTTTCTTTAAACAATGAACTGAAAGGTCATGGAGATGTGATTGCTTCTAGTAGTGTATCTTAAGAGGGAACAATACATAATTTTCTGGATGATCACACCGGTTCTCATCTCTTGGTTGGTTGGGTCTTAAGGAGCTCTAATAGGTGCTCTCAGAACAGTCAGAGAATATTCTTCCGGGAGAAGATAAGCCCAAAGAGATGGCCTGGTGCTTTGCTTATCACTGGCCCATTAGCTTTTCTTGTTCAGGTCACGTTGCAAGGGATGGAGCCTTGTAACCTTGGGGGTTTCATGGCTTCATTTCTAGCATGCCCTTTGCACTCTGAAGGACTGCTTTTACAGAAATACTTATAAACCAAAGTCTGGATTAGGGATGAAGAAAGGAAAGGAAGAGTGAAGGCAAAGCAACGTTTAAATCCTAGCAGAACTTTCATAGGGAATTTTCTCTGTGTGCTAAAGATTTCCTATGAAACTACCCTTACAGGAGGACACAGAAAAGACTTTTTTTTGCCTGGAGAAACATTTGCGAAACTCCTTCCCCAATCATAGCTGGAAAGATAGCTGCTAATCCAGCAGGAGATTTATCTCAAAATAGCTGGGTTATCTTTTTCTAGTAATGGGTCTAATTGATTTTCACTCTA